TCCAGTCCCTGTGAGGGTGCCCAGAGGTGGCACTAAATTCCAATCACTCGGCCAAAACCTGTGAGATGTCTGTGCCAGTGTCCAGCATGCCTGTGATAAAAACTGTTCTACCAAGATGAGTCAGGCTGCAAGTCAGTTCTGGTCGGTCAAGGCCCATGTGTTCCACCCAAAAGACATCAAAACTCGGGGTAGGATTCCCAAGTGGCACCTCTGGGTGCACAACTTGATTAGTTGGAAGTGGAGTCTCTTGATACATATTTTGTCTGTGTGTATCCATAGGTAAAACAATGCAATAGCTATAGGTGTTTTTGGTTGAATCACAGTAGGAATACTGAATGCAAGAGCTGAAATTATTAGCTCTTGTTTGCAGTCTGCTGAAACAACAGCTGGAAGGAAAGTCCAAAAATTCTGTTGCTGTGCTTGTATATAATTAAAGTCTTGTCTTTGTCAAGAAATGCCAGTAATTTCTGTGGGGATACCTTCGTAACAGAAGTCTTTTAAAAGGCATATTTATTTTGAAGTTGCCAACTCAAACCTTGCCCCTGGGGGTAGTAGGGTGGAGCCACCTGAGGGATGGGTGGCAGGGCATAAATAACATCTGATTTGGGTTCCTTACAGGTAAAGCCGAGGTAACTAAATTTTTTGGCAACTGGGGTGCCACTACTTGTTTCATTGTGTGGTGGCCTGTGCTGCCTTTTGAGTTTAACAGCAAGGGATTACCATCGATGTCAAAACGAGGATGACAATTCTTCACATAATGTTTCCCTTTCTGACATCGAGGGTGAACAGTAGATGGCTTAGCTTTTGGTGCCAGTACAGGACAATTCCTTTTTCCTGTGACCAGGCTTTCCACAGTTAAAACAAAGCTCTTTGGCTTTTGTACCAAATTGCACGGTCACAAGAGCTTTCAAAACCTTTTCTAGCTTATCTCCCAGCTTTTCTCCCAGTAAATCTTGGGATTTTAGAATCTGTTCCCCAAGAGCGTTAGCTTGTACCCTAGCAAGGTGCTGTGGGGGGCTAAGTTTGCTGCAAGCTGAAAGCATTTGAGGAACAGTTGGGGGCCGCTCAGGCAAAGCTAAAATAAGTTGCATTCCTCATTTGCACTAGTAGAAGCAAGGCTTTTAAGGATATAAGGGTGAGCCTGTTCATCAGGGCATTGCCTTTTGACAGCGTGTTAGTCGCTCTGAAAAAGCACCGTAGGCCTCAGTTTCACCTTGCATTATTGTAGAGTAAGCATTTGTGTGACTACCTGCCGGTTCAACAGTGAGCAAGGCTTTTCTTGCAGCGTTTTTTGTATCTCTGAGCACAGGCCTAGGCAGGAAAACTGCCTGATCCTCCAGCCTGTCATTTGGGGCATCACCATGTTAATTGAGCAATGGTTAATAGAGCATAAGGACCACCCACATAAGCTTCTATTACTCTACTGAGAAGCTTTCTCCACTCTAAGTCCCATTAGATGTACTGCGAATTAGATAAAATCATAGAAGCCACGTTGCGGCAATCTGCTGGAACTAGCTCATAAAAATTAAAAATACTTTTCACCACATTATTAAAATATGGAGAAGTCAGCCCGCTATCTTTTATTGCTTGTCTGAGTTCTTTGATATCATAATGTGTTTGTATTGAGGATTTTGATTGTTTTTACCATACCTCACCGGCCTGGCTAGAAGCTGACCATTTAAAGAGTCAAAATCATTATCCTGTCTGAAATTTCATCTAATATCAGACCGGTCAGTTAAGGGTATTGAATTAGTTTTCAGATTGGTCCCTGCAGGGTCCCCAGTTCTTGCCAGTCTCTGGGTTGGACTGCAAAGATTCAGGATTCCGTGTTAAATTTGTGTGACCAGAGTCGGGCAAAGCCAGCCCATCACCCGAGCAGTTTCCAGTGCCAGGCGTTTGTCCAGCGGCCGCGGGCGGGCTCCTCGCTTCCTCTGAGCCGCGGACAGCGGCAGGCACGGCCCGTGCTGGGCGTGCTGGCTGTGCCTGGGCTCTCCGTGCAGCCTGGGGCTCTGGACCGAGCTGCCGGACCTGCCCCTGCCCTGTGCCGTAACAAGAACCGGCCGGCACCGCTCCAGCGCCAGAAAAAGCTGGGAAAGGTACCACCAACAATGACTTCTCCCCCCGCGTCTGAGGCGCTGTAACAGACGGATTAAAAGCGGGGAGGCAGGGACCCCGGGCTGGGAAAGACGGGTTAGGTTTAACATTGGAAGAAATGTTCCCGAAGGAGGCGGGGAGGTTCTCAGGGGATGGAGGAGCAGGAGCTCTCGGTGCAGAGGGATCCGAGCCGGGCGGATTGGCGATCTGTTTGGGAAGTTGGAATAAGGGTCGGGGGTGTTTAAGGGACTGAGGATGGGCGCGGATGGAACGGAGGGGCTCACCGAGGGGTCTGAATCGGGCAGGGGGATGGCTGAGGGACAGGTTGGAGCAGCGGAATGAATTGGAAAGTCGGGGCAAACCGCGGAAGGCTATAGGGACACAAGCGGGATCTGAGTGGGGACAGAAGCGTTCTGGGGAGATGCTGGGGGAGGCGAGAGATGAGGGGGGGCTGGCTGTGCCGCCTAGGGGGACGGTGGGCGCGGGGTCTCTGAGCAGGGACGAGGAGAGAACCGAAGCAGCAGGAGAGTTGGGGATTCCCGGCGCAGATTGATGACGCAAACAGTTCGAGACCCGGGAGCTAGCAGGTCTGGCACGGGGTAGGGATGGGGGGCTGGAGGGCCGCTCTGCGAGATCAGAGGGGCCGAATTTGCATTTGAAAGCTTGCTCTGGGACGCCGGAGGGACGTTCTCTCTGGCGGAGAGAGGCACGGGGTGGTTTGGACACGCGGAGGAGTTCACTGGAGGAGCCGTGGAGTCGGTCTTGAGCCCGGGAGGGCCCACGGGTCCGGTCTTTTGAAAGATTTCTAGTAGTGATCGACATACAGGAAATAGTTTGGCTACTGTCTCATCTCGGTTAACAGAAAGGGCATTATATAGTTTCCAGTTCACCAGATCCCAAAAGTCATAAGTTAAAGCAGACTTAGGGTCTATATGTTGAAAGCTCATATTTACCCAAGTCAGCAAGTTTTTTAATTAATTTTTCCCAATCTCTGAGATTTATCTTTTAGAAGAATGTCAAGCTGGTGATAAATGTCCCATTTCTCTTTGGACAAGAAATGTTGTCCCATCCCAAAGTTCCCCAGAGATCCCTTCCTCACCTCAGTCTGAGGTCCAGGAAGGTAGGGAGGGAGAATCTCTTGTTTCAAGAGAGGGTCTGCTTCCTTTCAATGATTTCACCTGATCTGGGGCTTCCAACACAATGACCAGAAATAGTCCACTGAGGAATTCTAAAATGAATTCCCTGCCTCTTGGGGCATCATTCATTGGAGGTTAATTTTTCACAAATGGGATGGGACTGCTGGGTGACACGTCACGAGCTTTTATTTCAGGCACCAGTCTCAGCTGCAGATACAGGAGATGGCACAAGCTCACGTCTGCCACAAGCAGCTCAAGATCTCTGTTACAGAACATTTCATAATTTTTCCAGCCAATAGCATATTGCTAAAGCTTACAGACAATTGTTCTATCCAATCACTAGAAACGTATGCCTTCTTCAAACAATACTTGCTTGTTTACTTTCTATTAACAATACACAATACTCTGCTATTAAGCATAAAACTTTCTATTATCTTGGTAAGAAGGATATTTTTCTGCATTCTTAAGGTCTATCTTGGCCAAGCCTTAGAACTCACTTATTGTTTCATGTCCTTGCATACTGTGTTATTGTATCTTCTTTACTTTCAGGCCTTGCAGCTGCAGCTAGCTCTAAGTTCTCTGCTTTTTTTTAGTGAGGTCCATTTTCACAGCTTCTGAAAGTCTTCTTACCTTTACTCTTTCCCACAGGCAGGTACCTTTGTCTGCTCAGAAATGGTGTGGGTACAAAGTGGTGGATCATACTAGCAGGTTGCTTAGAAATGACCTAGTCCTAAAATGCTTTTGTATACCAACAATTAGAGGCATTGAAGACAGAGATCTCTGGCTTTGAGGCTGGAAGAGGGCATAGGCAGTTATAAGACTGTAGAAAGACTGAAAAGAGACACAACAGAAATTATGAGAGATGGAATTTTCATTTTTGAGTTTAAAAGAATATGATTGTGTTAGTTCAACAGCACAAATGATTATGCCTAGTATATCTGGAACACTGTCAGTCCAAACGAAGTAGAGCAAAAAGAAGTAGCAAGCCAGTGAACCAGGTCTGGCAGGTGGGAGCAAAATAGAACTGTGGAAGAGAATACTGAGGGGAGATTGACATCTAATGCAGAGGAGTTTGCAATCTGTGGCCATTGCCTGGAAGACCCTGAGTATTTAGATGGAGTGTCAGTAGTTTTGATGTTGTGCACTCCTGTCTTGTTGGCAATTTGTTGGTTGATAGTTGTGGGGAAAGCTGTCTGTCCCCTGAAGAAGTGTCCTCTCTTCTGACAGTGATGTGGGTTTGTGTCTTTATATGCATATAGAAGTAATGTTACTCTTCTCACTTTTGTTGGAAGTAATGCCACCTAACTGCTAAGGTGCAGGCTTAAGTTTTGCACTTGATTTCAAATTAAGGAAATTTTTGAGGTCACCTCTTCAATAGTATTTGAGTTTCAGTGCTGTTCTTTTGGTCAAAAATTAATTCATAAGCTATTTTGAATGCTGGAATCTGTTTGAGAGCAGATTACTTCTCTTTGGATGAGTTACAGACGTGAATTTACCTAGCCTACTGGTGTGTAAACTGTATTTTGTTTCTATAAGGAGTATTAGAATTTTGGTAGTCTCTTGAACATAACGTACAGAATTGAAAAAGTAACAACTATGAGCCTTTAATTTCTCCTGTTGTACCCTGGGAGAGGACACTGAAATAGAAGATATGACCAGCTCTATACATTGTGCCAAACTGTACTGCCTTTATAACAGACTTTTACACAGGTAGACCTTGGGGGAAAAAAACAAGTGGTAATACTTGTTTAACTGTATATTACCTTGCAGGTGGGAACCAGCGTGAACTTGCCCGTCAAAAGAACCTGAAGAAAACTCAGGAGATCCACAAAGGAAAAAGGAAAGAAGATAGCTTGTCTGCTTCTCAGAGGAAACAGAGGTAAGATCTCATAAAGCTGAATAAATGTTTAGGCAGAAAAAGGAGAAGAAAATGGGTCAGGAAGAATGTAGTGTCTTGGCTGAATACTTTGTTTTTATTCATTTTATTCATTTTATTCATTTATGCCAGAGCATAAACTGTGGATGAAATTTTGCAGTATCTGCTGTTAAACAGATATATTTTTATTAAGTCCTGTAAAGCTTTTTAATTTTTTTGAGCAGCTTTTTGCCTACTGCAAAAGGGAAAAGAATGTGTAATGCTGTCTTGAAGATGTTCAATCCATTACATCCTTTATTTCTAAATTTATTTATACTCAAGTAAATTGTCTGCCTCATGGAGTAATGAATGCACTGAAGAAAACAGGGTAATAAAAACACCGTGCTCGTGGCTGAGAAATTTTAGACTGATTTTCTTCTTCAAGTGGGGGCTATTAAAGGGAAGAAGCTCTGCTTGGAAAAATTGTGAGCCAGTGTCTGATATCCAACTGTTTTTCCTTCACAGGGACTCTGAAATCATGCAGCAAAAGCAAAAAGCAGCTAATGAAAGGAAGTCTCTGCAGGCAGGAGCAAAATGAGCTGCCGCTATGGAGAATATAGAGTGCACCAGTGAAGCAGGACCTAGAAGATCATTCATAAAAGTGTCCGGCCATTAAGTGATTAAACTTTTATTGTGCAGAGTTGTTCAACTAGCATTAGTTAGAGTATTTTCTGGTTACTATAGGCCTAGTTGTCTACAGTGCTCTTTCAAAACTGACTACACTCTTCTGCATGTGTATGAATAAAAGTACCAAGCAATAGCTTCATTCTAGCTTTTGCTGCATTTGTTAGTTTTACGTAGTGGTTCCAGTAACAGAATTTCTGAATCTACAGTTAGACCAGATTTGGTTGCCCAAATTCTTGAAAGTACAGCTTCATTCAGAATGGAACACACTTGTAAAATGTGCTTAACCTTGCAGAGGTCTGAACTGTAAATCTCAAAGTATTTTTACAATAAAATGTTGCATGAAATACTGTCTAATCTGAAATGGTAATGCTTCATAATCAGTTGATTTCTAAGTTACCAAGAACATAAGGAATTGATAACCTTGTGGAGAAATGCAGTATAAGAATGTAAGTGTAATACAAAGTATGAATAAAGTTTATAAGAAATACATATTATAAGCACTGTTTAAGTGCCCCATAGGAAAAAATGCCTCTTGAGTTGCAGACTTTGATGGTGTACAAAAGTGACTCAGTCGAGTCCTGATCCTAGCACAGAGAAGCTGTAGGATTGCTGTTAATGAGTTCCAATGGAAGCAGATCTCAAAATTGCTATGCCACTAAAATGATTTGAAATCACTGCTTACACCTGCCTCAGGAATAAGTTAGTGTGGAAAAACTCAGCCCTTGCTTCATAGGCATGCTTGAGTATATTGTGCATTGACCAGGGGAAAACTGTTGAGGAAGCTTCCCTGTCTGACCATCCAGGAGGCACTCTGGCAGTCACATTCACACCACCTGTGCTGGGAATGAAGCCCCTTCACAACTATACCACTCACAGCCCAGGATTCCTTACCAATTCAACCCCAGGTTTCCTGTAGCAGTGTCAAAGATCCTGATCTTTAATATAATTTCATCTTGGTGCAGTGACTGACAGGTGCCTCTGTGGAGGGACCATAAACAAAAGGAACCCCTGCGATTTTATGCTCTCATAGTCTAGGGGTGGATCCTGGCTCCTACCATGCCACAGGTCCCTGTGCCCTTTGTCTTGGCAGTGGGTTGGCAGTTCACAGCCTCTTGCCTTGGGCTCCTGCAGCAGCTGCACTTGGAGCTGCCTCCACAGAATGTGCTCCTCAGCAACTGATTTAGTCTCTAGAGACAGCTTTTGAAGCCTTTGCTTTTTAAGCTGTGTTCCATCTACGTGCATTCACTTATTGTTAACAGGCGCTGGCACAGCTTGAGGACAACTGGAGGGAAAATGTAGCTGGTGCTAGCACTGCTGACCTGCAGATGCTGAGAAATTAAGCAAATTCACAGAATCACAGAATTTTTAGGGTTGGAAGGCACCTGTGAAGATCATCCAGTCCAAGCCCTCTGCCAAGGAATGCACCCAGGTGTGGTTTGCATGTCCCCAGACAGCGAGACTCCATGACCTCCCTAGGCAGCCTGCTCCAGTGCTCTGCCATCCGCAGTGAAAAGCTGTCATACTGAGATGGAACTTCTTGTATTTTAGTTCATGGCCATTACTGCTTGTCCTGTCACTGATTACCACTGAAAAGAGTCTGGCACCATCCTCTGGGCCCCTGTCCAGAGATCCTCTCTCAGTCTTCTCTGGACTGAACAGGCCCAAGTCCTACATTCTCTGCTCACGAGAGAGATTCTCCAGAATCCAAATCATCTACGTGACCCTTTGCTGGACCCTTTCCAGTATGCCTATCCTTCCTTTACTGAGGAGCCCAGTACCGAGCACAGCAGCAATTCCCTTGCTCGCCTGTCGCTGGCTCGATGCCAGCTCCCGCTCCGCAGCCGCCTAGGGCGGCTTTCCCGCCGGCGCAGGCCCAGACCAGCACGCGGGGCCGCGCCCCTTCCGGCGGCGGNCGGGCAGGTGGGAACGGGAATGGGGCCGGGAGCGGGCCGGGAGCGCAGGGCGGGAGCGGGGCCTTGCCATGGCGCTAAAGGCTGTGTGGCTTCCCCAGAGCGACGACTCGGACATCTGGGACGACACGGCCCTCATCAAGGCGTACGACAAGGCGGTGGCCTCCTTCAAGGTAAGGGGTCGGAGCGGCTGTGGCTGGATCCTGGGGCTGAGGCCGCTGGATTGGCATTTATTGTTTTTTTTTTCTTTCTCTTCCCTAAGAATGCCTTAAAGAACGGGGAGTGCTCAGAGCCTTCAGACAAGCAGGAGCAGCGCATGATGATAAAGAGAAAAAACCATAAAAAGAACAGAAATAGAAACAAGAGCAATACAGCGCCTTTGAAACAGGTCGTCTCACTTGTAAATGCCAGTGGTGCTCGTACTGCATGGTGGTACTTCGGTACTCAGAAGTAGTTGCTTTATCACCCTGAGAGTATTTGGGACGGTGGTGTGGGGTGATAGCGTTATAAACTTTATTTTTGGGTTATCTATAAGAATTTCATTAAATACAAAGGAAATGCTGTAGGTGGGATCCATATTTCTGGACTTTTTAAAAAGTAGTTTAGGAAAAGGCACCTTCTGTTGGTCCCTTGGTGTAGGTATTTACATGCTTCTCTTGCTTCTGTTGCAGTGGAAAGTTGGTGACAGCTGCAGTGCTGTTTGGTCTGAGGATGGTAATTTGTATCTAGCAACTATTGCCTCCATCAACCAGAAGAGAGGCACATGTGTTGTCACTTACACAGGATATGGAAATCAGGAGGAGCAGAACCTGTCTGATCTACGTCCTCCAACCAGTGATGAGACAGTAAATGGGATGAGCCATTCTGGGGAGGTGAGGGACTTTTTCATTCTTCTATAAAGAAATGGGAAAGCACGAGAGTCACTTATTTTAGTATGTCTGGTAGCACTGCTGGTGTTCAGCATGAGAAGCGATGCGCAATTCTGTTGTAAACAGGCACAAGCTGATGGAGGGAATGAATGCATCCCTTTACTTTTTGAACTCAGTGTGGAAGAAAGGGAGGGGACAACAAGAAATTCACCAGTGAAAGATGACATAGCTCAAATGGTGAGCAGATAAAGCTCCTGAGTAGGTCTGGGAGGGCTAGAGAAGGGGGATGGATGTGAATGGGACTTTCCAAACTATTTCACACTAAAATTGCTTGCTCCTAGACTCCTGTTTAGTGCATTTCATAAAAACATCTTTGTCTTCTAGAATGAAAATGAAACTCCATATTCAACAGATGAAAGTGAAAAATCTTCCCAGTCTTCTCGAAACAAAAATGGCTGCACAAAAGCAAGATTTTCCCCTCAGAACTTGAGATTTCCTACACCACCACCACCACCACCAGGCCTAGGAAGGGTAAGCTCAACCTTAATATAAATACTTTATTACCATTGTTAAGCCTGGTATTTTTGTGTGAATTCTGAGAAAATATGATAGTATTTAGCATTTTCTAGAATTCAGTTAGCAGCATTTTGAGAATGGATGTACAGATATGCATGTCAGTATCTGTTGGTCTGCTGTTTTGTAATAATTTGGCCACACTATAGCCTTTCTGCAGTGCTGCTGTCTAGTGAGGAGAACCTTCTGGTCCTTGGCTAACACTTGCTTTCCTATTGCCTTTTAATTTGTTCCACGGATTCTGGTGGTGTGATTAATGACAGTGGTGTTTATGCTTTAAGATTTTGCATTTTCTAGCCAGTCAGTATGTTAGACTTCACAGGAGATGTCATAAAATCCTCTCAGCTGTAGCTGCTCTCTTGAGTTAGGAGTGAATGGGGTATTAATACACCCTTCAGTCATCCTGTCATGTAGGAGTCCAAGTAATAGTATAGTTGTTCTCTAAAACACAGTGTTATGTTTTCTAAATATTACTGTTTGTACAAGATTTCTTTATAAGGTTTTATTTTATATTTTCTTCTTTTCTATCCGTAGATTTGTATCCAGATCTTTATTTAAGGACTTTCACTAGCATAGTGGAATTTAGTCAACTTCTGCCCCATCCACACAGGAGCAGAGAAATTATCTCTTTGCCTGTGTGAATATTTGATCTGTTTCTTCCTGTTGAGAGTGTGGCCATTGACTTCCACTCAGGAAAACCTTTTAAAAATGCTTCTATTAATCAGAGCCCTGTTTCAGCAGTGTTTGCCTCAGTGACATGAGTAATCTTAAGTTGTACATCTCAAATTACAGAATGTGTCTCAGAAATAGCTACTGTCTGTATTTTCATTAAATTGCTGGGGTATGTTGTCTATTGTTTAAGGTATATGAATTGGTATATAAGCTTAAATAAATTTTCTTAAGTAAAATCCTAATACCCCAAATTCCCTTTTAATTTGTACTGTTTCACTTTTTTTTTTTCCCCATGTAGTCTGGATCAAAATTCAAGGCACCTCCATCATTTTTATCTTGCTGGCCCCCACCCTTCCCAGCAGGACCACCAGTAAGTGACAGAGGAATGGGGAATGAGTATTAGTGATCTCAGGTTTTCTCACTGAATGTGCTCACTACCTGTGTTTTTAGAACACATTTGTTCTGTTTGCCTGTATTTTTCACATATTTGTTAACAAATTCAGTTACAAATATTATGATAATCTAAGGTACAAGGTCTGATTTTTACTCATTTCTGTGACATTTTCATACTCATTTCAGTGAAGCTGTTGGTAAGAGTATCAAGGGGTAAATTGTTTGAAAAAAGTGCACTCTATATTAACAGCATTTCACTGAAGAAGGTAGTATTTTCCCCTAGAAACACTTTTTGTGAACAGTTAAGCTATGGGAGTCTTGTTTTTCCTAGGCTTTGGAAATCACATATTTTCAGAAAACACCATCTTTGACTCCTTTTCAGAGAACAAATTAAGGATATGTTCCTATTTTTCAGTTTTATGCTTTAATCTTTTAGAATTAGGAGCTCTCTATTCTGGGAAACACCCTATTGAAACGTAGACATTTCCTTTGTGGTTTCTTAGTTGATTCCTCCTCCACCACCCATGAGGCCAGACTCCGCTGAGGATGATGAAGCATTGGGGAGCATGTTGATAGCCTGGTACATGAGTGGTTACCACACTGGATATTACCTGGTATGTGCTGCTGTGGTTTTGAAGTGTCTTGGTAATTTTGCACTGCTGTTGGTGCTCCTGTTTGCAGCAAGAAGCCATAGAGGGAGTGCTGCTTTTTAGGTCTCCTATTCTAATTTACAGTCACTACATTTAAGGGTGTTTTCTATTGTATAAGTGTTGTCATACTGTTTGACAGTAGAATTCATATTCTCACTCAATTCAGTGAGCCAGCATGTATATGTATTATATTTATATATATATATATTTAGTTGATGTTTTTGTAATTTTTCCACTGTCAGGTAGTTTTATGATCACTGTTTTACAGCCATTCTAAAACAATCAATTCTGTCTTTGTAGACAGGTGGAGTAAATACGTTTATTTTTCAGTAGTCTTCTATGTATTTTCTTTATGTATTTTTCTTTAGTATGAGTGGTAGTATCACATTCAAGATCAGATTTGGCACTTTTGCAGAGATAGTTCATCAATAATTCTTTCGTGTCATTGTGAAGGTCCAGTAGAAACTGTCAGCATAGTTGTGAAAATCTGTGACTTGTATTATTGATTCATATATTCATCTGTGCACTTAATGAAGAAAGAAAATTACGAAATGAACTCTTTGCACTGAGGAAGTTGGAAAGGGAGGATTTGGTGCTTCAGATTATATATAATTGTGGATTGCTTTACTTTCAACTGAACAAGAAGTATATATTTGAAGTATATATTTTGTATAGCCTCTGGATATAAAAAACACATGTAGTTTGGCTTTTACTATTTTTAAATTGCCCATTCTGATTTCCAAAGAAAGTTAAAAACTGTTTGTGATTTGTAGAGGACTGAAAAAGATTGTCCAGAAATGTTTTTGTTCTGCAACTAAAGCTTTTATTTGCATGTTGGCAAAATCAAGATTTTACTAAATTGTATCCTGTAGGGTTTAAAACAAAGCCGAATGGAAGCATCGCTGGGGAGACAAACACATGCTAAGTAACCGAATATCCACCATTGTTCTGGAGGATTGTAAGTATTGCAGCTTTGTGGTAAATGAAGATACAGTCAAGTTTTGAACTCCCTTCAAAAACCTCTTGGCTTTGGGACTTCCATCCACTTTAATGGCTCTCTGTAAAGACTACTTCTGCCAGTAGTAATCCCTTCTATGCTTAGCAGCTATGGAATTGTATTTTCGTGGCTAGAATGAAGGAAAGAATTCATTGCTCTGATGAGAGTTTTAATTACAGCGTTTGTCTGCATAAGGATTAACAGTGCAGCTTATTTGAATTATTAATGGTTCATAGTGGGCTGTTTTGGGAACAAAAGGTTGTAAGTGAAATGCAGTTTTTTCATCTGTGTTTCCTTACACAGATGGGATGGTAGGTTGTAGCTAAACTTTATTTTCAGGACAAGTTCAGTCCGGTAATGTCGAGCAGTTCAGTGCTCATTACATCAGTACCTGCGCTTGTATTTGAAATGCTTTGTCCAGAATTCTCCATTGTATTGTTCACTTCCTTATAAAGCAAAACTATATTCTCCTGGGGAATTGTTTTCTGATTTTCTCTGATAACATGTAATTTCTGTGTAATTTAGTAATTCTTTGTGTGTTTAAAAGCAAAAAGCTCTTTTATACTAATTTTTGCTTCTTTTTTAAAGCCAGGTACAAATCTTTTCCATTGAGAGGTGTATATCACTTATGCATTGGGGATTGATGGTGAAGAACTGAATTTTTATCAAGACAATTAGTCATAATGTTTTCTTAACACTGAGCTGTCCCTGTTAACAAATAAATAATTTCAGACTAGTAATTAAATGTGCATTGAAATGAGCTATTTCTTAAAAGACCTCTAGTCAAATGTATTTCAGAAGCACTGCAGCAGCAAAGTACTTTTTACTTCCTTGAGGCAATTTCAAGACTTCTTATTGCATGTTAGATTTAACTCTTTTGACCCCATGTGATAGATTTTATTTATCTCTCAACATGTCTTGCATTCCTCAGGCTTTCTGTCTGAATGGCAGCACCAGAACGATTGATTATGGTATCCTCTTTTAGGAGAAAGCTGTGGCAGCAATGTGTGTTGCAGTGGCCACTGGTGCCACTGGCATGGGAAACAGTGTGCTGTTGTAGTAGGAGGGACATCTTACAGGTCTGATTAGAATCATGAAATTTGACAGCTGGTTTCAGAAAGGCTGTTGTCTCATTTCAAATGTGTGAATAAAGTTCTGCTTTTTAAACTTTGAGTTTAGGGATGTAATTTGTTTTGGGGTGCTTTTTATTTTGAGCTTCCATTGGCATCTCTTGGTTGGTTGGATGAACGGCTGAAATACAGCAGAAAGCCGCCTATATACATATATACATTATATTGCCTTTTTCTGAGTACCATTACTGAAAGCAAATCAGGGAAAGCCTGTAGAAAGGTATGTACAGACATGGATTTCAGTCCTTACAACGTAGTGCTGAATTTTACTCTACCCTACTCTTAATAGAGGCTGTAGCTCCAAAACTAGGTAGTAATTTAGTTAATGCCAGTGGTTTTCTTTCCAGGGAAATAGAGATATGAACTTCACTACATTCACTTCCTTTTCCTACTGTGGTCATGTGTCAAAAAGATCAGTTTTCCTACAAGTAAAAAGGAAAAAAATACTTAATCATAACTTACCTAAGCTACTTTAAAGGCTTTTTTTTTATGTCTAGGTGGCATAAATTAAGACTGACTGCAGTAAGGTAAAGCTTCTAAATCATCTTTTCAGATTGCTGAAGAGGCAGAACTGCTCTCTGCTTCAGTCAGTTATATTGGTGTCTGACATTGTTAAAAAAAGTGGCCTTCAGTTTTTAACAGTAGTAAAATCTAACATACAATAATTTTACTGCAGTTCTGACTTCAGTAAAGGGGTTTATGTTTTAAACAAATAAATCAGTCACATGAATCAAGTGCAAGCAAATTGACTGAGTAGAATATTAGTAAATGTGTGTACAAGCGCTTACCACACTGAGAACTCCCAACAGCTGACCACTGGCAGGATGTGTGACCTGGAAAGGAGCCTTCTCCCATCCCCACTGAAGATGTGAGGTGGTACAGGATAATCTGGGACTCATAGTCATGTTCTCTCCTGGCTGCTGGGAAAAATAACCCGATCCTGGCTGGAACCAGGACAATGTTTATTTGCTATGGAGGGGTATAGTTAATAATACAAGAGAAGGGAAAACCCTAACACTTCCATACTTTCCTAGGATTGAAAAATTGGTGAAAAGGGCAAAACCCACTGCTAAGGTAATTTTAAACTCCTACACTAGGGGATCCTTCATTATGATACTAGACATTTTAAGGGCCTCTATCAAGGAGCCAGCCCACCATTGTTATTGTCACAGGACCAGACAATCAAGAAACAAGTGACATAAAACCACCATTGCTGCTGCTCTGGCTGTGATCTGATGTGAACGTGTGGATAGTTGCCACTTCTTTTAAGGTAGACACATCAAGCATTCTAAAGAAATGTCTGTAACAGTGATTTGCTAACAGAGCTTTCTGAGCTTCTAGAGAAGATGCTCCAAAGCCATATGGAACATGAACAAATAAACAGTGATGCTAAGGTATGGTACATTAAAAATATAATAAATTCGTTGCTGCTGGGTTGAAAACAAATAATAGAACTTTGAAATTACACATTTGAGCACTGTGATACTCAGACTGAGGAGACTGATAAAGGATACTCTAGCAGGCATATCAATGCATAGTAGAATAAGATACCAGTATGGATGCTAATTCTGAAGCAGGCAGTATAGTGCCTGTGAAACTACAAGGCACATAACTTTCTCAGTCTTGCCTGGGAAAGTGGCCTGGGAATTCATAAGGAGGAATTAAAACAATCCTCAGAGACAGAAAACAGCCTTGCAGGTGCTGCTTGTCTGTTCCTTGTTTTCTTGCAAGAGAAAGTCGAGGGGTGGTGAGCCCCACTGACCATTGATGGTGATGTGTTAGTTTACTAACCAATAAGAGTTTTCTTTTCTGTACTTTTCACATATCAGTCTATTAAAAAGAGCTGAGGTAATAAACCGGAGAGAAACTTCTCCAGTTCAACTCCATGAGACAGTCTGTGTCGTTCTTTTCGCCGTTCCCAATAAAGCGACATACCAGTGTCTTTACAAGTGTTCAAATACCACTCTTACAGAACAAAGCAAATAAAGCACCCACTTGTGCAGGCACTGGAGGTCAGACATCAGATCAGCACTGCAGAGATTGAGATACCAAGCATAACTATCACTCTCGGGCCTGAGTACCATCACATGAGCTTTCCAGCCTTGTCTTATGGTCACCCTGCTTACAAGATGAGACTCCTGTAATTAAATTACTATACTGAAATGTATGTCAAAAATAAAGGAAGGTAATGTGACAGACTTGGCATTTGTTTACAGAAAAAAACCAAAACATTTTTCCTGACTGGGTATGGCATGGTTGTTTTAAGACTATACTAGAAAAAAATTACAATCAAAAAATATTCTGGAGATACAGAGTTTTAACAGCTAGAGCTTATAAGCTAATATAACGAGCAACAAAGATATGAAGCTCTATTTTAAGTCAGTCTATTTTCCTACTGATTTTTCTTGTAATTTCCATTGCTTTGTAGAAGGGGAACTAAGAAGGCATTTCAGCAAGTCTCAGCAAAGTCCAGTATGTAAGCAGGCTGAATATACTTTGAGAAGCAAGGTATATTTTGGGCTGTGTATGGAACAGGAAGAAGTAATACCCATTAAAATGACAATTTGCAATTTCTGTAAAGTATACAAACAAGATTAATTTATCCTGAAGCAGTGTCTTCTCTACTCAGACACTTTTTACTTAATTTGAAATTCTCTCCTTTAAACTGACCTACTTCTAACAGGCCATCATCCTGCAGTCACAGGATAAATAGGAAGCATCTGAGGTGCAGCAGGTGTAGACACTGCTAAACTATCAGTTTGGCTGCAGATTTCCTTCTTTTACCCTGCAGGAAGGATGCACTCCTTCAGGTTAAGAAAAAGACCTAAATTTTATGCTGCAGAGAGAAGATGACCTTTCCTGTTAAGAATTAAACTACGTAATTTCCTGAATATTGTGCCAACGAATGACAGCAGCAGATCCAAGTAAAACAATCCTTTAAAATTTAGATTATGGGCAATAGGTTACTATCTGCTTTCCTTTCTCAGGTTTGGCTCTGCTGTTGTTCATTCTGTAACTCAATAGCTTATGAAGATCAATAGAAAAGGCAAACTACACCTCCATAGAGGGTGTAAGAGGTCTCATGAGCACTCCAGAGATACAAGGAATTTTCCATTGACAAAATCAAGGCACCCACAGGAAGGGGAGGGGAGGGGGGACAGGGAGGAAATAAAAGGTGTTCCTCCCTTCTCAAAATGAAATCCGTTTCAACTTTTCCCCTGTTCTCTATACACCTGCTTTTTGCAGGACAGTGTTTGGCTTTCAGAGGTGCTGAACACTTGATTCTAATTGAGGACAGCCATGCATCTCATTTGGCTCATTCCCCTCAGAAGGACCTGAACACACACCCTTCATCACAACTGCTTTGGAGACCTGATTCAATGTTCTTCTAGGAACACCAGACAAGTAAGTGTCCAGATAAATGCTTTCTCCTTTCTAAAAACATATCCTCCTTGCCACTCTTTGCTCTGGCTTTAACCTCAGACAAGTCTAAGGCAATTTAATTTTAATCTCCTTGTCACAACTTTTGCAAAAGCCATTCTCATTTGTCAGCTGCATTACTCTCCTAATGGAGAGTAATGGAAAGCCATGACAAGATTTTAGCTAGGCGCCAGGGCATTATTGAATCACCGCTCCACCTGCATTGGAATGTGAATCTTTTACTTGTCCTGTGTTTATATACCTAACCATCTTGGTTCAAGCTTATGTAAAACACCTGGCTTTAGGAACAGCAGAGGCTTCAACATGGGCTTCTTCAAGGCACGATTTTTAAAAGAGTCTGGTCAGACTCCTCTATTCTCAAAGATGCTCAAGGTGGGATTACCTTTGCAATCAAAGATACTTGGTTAGGAAAGCATTGGCCTGCTATCACATTCTCCAAAGCAGGGACAGAACTGGATTGCCAGCATCTTGGGCTTACATCTTGGGAAAGCAATCTGGGTCTGAGAGTAGATCCATCTGAACTCCTTTCTCAGAAGTTTAGAATATAAGCAGGTCCTTTCTGCACTTCATGTCTCAGTGGAAGGGTCTCCCTGATAAACTTTGTCTGAAACTCCCCTTCTGCCTGTGACAGAAAACATCATTCAAAAAACTGAAGCTTTTTTAACAAAGAAAACAAAAGGCTCAAAACCTCTGGGAAAAGAAGTGGGTAAAATAAAATCAGACAGCCTGGGTCTGAGAAATGAAATTAAATGTCTGAGAATAGGTCAACTAATTTAAACCTTCCAGCAGGAACAAAAAGCCAGTGAAGAGAGCTGGCAGCACCATCTGCTAACCAAGCTGTAAAGGAACCTTTCCAAAGGGACAATACAATTGCAGAGGATTTGAAGTGACGCTTTTTAGAATAATTTTATTAATGTCTACTGTAGACGAATGCAGGGAGATTCCCTTTGTCTAAATCAGAAGAGGGGAGGGCATATAGCAGAAGGCAGATCCCAAATCAAAGCAATTATGGCCAATTTTTTAAGAGCTGCCTGCATTTCTGGGGTAGATGAAGCGACATTGTATCTGTAAGCTTGGCATCTGTTACAGACTAATAAGCAGAAAAAATAAAATTCTGTCACTGTAAAAACACACAGTTGATCCACATATTTTACAATGCATTTGGAGGAAGTCCCCTCAACTCAAAAAAATACTGTATTAGAACAAAAGGTGCAGGGAACACAGCAAGAATGATAAAACAATACAACAGTTCTTGCCTGAGGATTGAGTGAGTTGCCTGTATTCTTCATCATGAGGATGACAGCATTTATGGAGAATACAGTGCATTGCCAAACAATGCATGAAAATAAAATGTATATTTATTCAAGTGCTGTAAGCAGACCTGTACCATTCTATAAATCAAACCAACAATCCCTCCCAGTTTTGTTTTCAATGACCTGTAAAGAAAAACCCACCTCTGTCAAGTAAATAAGAGTATGTTCCTCTGGCATACAACAGCCATCTATCAAAGGGCTGTATCCTGCACACTGTACCTCTGAGTGTCTCTGCTGGGTTCTTCAGCTTCTGAACACAGATATCATATTTTGAAATATTACCCACAGCTTTGCCCAGGACAAATTCACGAGGAGGAGAGAATTTCTTGTGCTGTTTGCATGGGGTACATCTAACCATCTTAGTAAATAAATCTAACCCACAGCAAAAACACTGCACACTGGATTGAACAAGGGTATGAGAAAAAATGCAGCAGTTGCCATTTCTGTCAAAGACCATGAATGAGATGTATAGGATAAAAAGGGCTTTATCACACTCATTTCTTACATAGGGTTTTAACTCTTCTGCAGTGTTCATGGACTCCCTGGAATTCTGTCTCCATATATTTGACAAACTTGAGAAAATCAGACTACCTGTGGGAATCAGTACAAAGCAAAAAAATGCAGCTCATGTATTTAATTGTTATTTGTCTCTGCTACAGGATTATTTTACATTCTTTTGGAAAAAAAGACTACTAAATTATATTATGCACATCTTTTAGATAACATTCATAATCACCTCTCTTTCATTAGTAATTCAGCTGTTATACTGCCATTTCTAATCTGACAAAATACAAAGTTCAAAAATTAAGTCACATACACCCAGAGCAACTCAGTCACTGATGTATTTACAATCATCACAGGGTGACTCTAGAAAACCCATTGTGATGTATTGCTTCAAACACTGCACCTGTAGCCTCCTTTTACTGAGGTGTAGCACATTATAATTCTCACAGGTTCAAGCTGCAAACACACTTAGAGCAGACACTGCAAAATATCAGTCTTGCACTTGTGTCAATTTCTATTCTTCAAGGTTCAGGTAAGGAGGAGCACTTACTCTCCTGCACCCACCTGTCTTGTTGCTTTAGAGGTTTAAAAAAGTTGATGTGGGGTTCTGTCAAGTCAGTGTAGCCTCACAACCAAACAGCAGCTCTTTTTGTATTCAATACTGAGTCCATCAAACAATAGTTTGTATTAACTCAGGTCTTGCCCTTTTGCAAGTTCATTGCCTTTCAGCAATCTCACCCTCCTACAAGAAATTGAAACTTGACAAAACCAGACAGCTGCAGACACAGGAGTAATAGAATTCAGTTAGCTTTGAGTTGCACCATTAAAACCTAAAATGTGTTTTCAGCACATTCATAACACCTGTATTTAAGCTGCCTTAACAAACACCAAGGTGAATACTTATAATACTTGAAAATAATATACATGAAATATCTACAATTAATTGCTCAAATCACCTTTGTTTAATTCTTGCAAAAGAATATTTTGAAATCCATCATCCACCAAAACCAAATGTAAATGTGTAAAATATATTTTCATGGCTTCTTTTTGAACAAGTAATGAAACCAAGATGAATCATCACATTATCATAAAAAACAGTTTTATCACTTACACATTTACAAATATATACATTATTATAGTAACAGCTGGGAAAAGCCATAGTTCTTTAGACAAGAACAAAAAACAGATACAGATAATTCAGGTACATATTAACAGTAATAAAATAATTGAAACATTTAAGTTTGTGTCTATGCCACTGTTTATCCCTCTGTAATCTTCTTCAGAGATGCCTCAGTTAAAGTGATGGCTGAATAAAATGATTTATGCAAGAATGACAAAGACAAATCAATTTTTAAAAATATATGAGATCATACAGATACAGGAGCAGGGTGCTCATGAATACAGCCAGGACAGCAGTGCAGTGAATCATGAACAAACAGATCACATTCCACACAAAATGCATTCTGACACACTTTGCATATGTACACCTGTGTGGGAAAGATAGAAAGACAAGCCAAATTAGCAAAAATTATCATCATCATCACACTACAATAAGACAACAGTTATGTCATCAAGAGAATGTAAACAGACTGTACTGCTAGCATCAAAGAAACTCAATTGAATTAAACCTTCTGATAGCAAGTATATCCACAGGCATGAGCTCAGGTCACTGTAAATACTTCCAGTGGCTGAGAGTGGAAGCTTTCTTATGCAGCTCCCCAGGAAATCCCTTCCCACACTTTTGTGGAGGAGCCCCAATCCTCTGACAGGCATCCTCCCTGGAGATCAGCCCCCTAACATAAGACAAAACCGCCTAGTCACCGTGACTAAGCTATGGACCCCTTCCTGTTTTAGGACCTCATGTTATCTCCCTGTTAACTAATGATCATCTTATCCTGGTCTCAGACTGTGGGTTCCCTTCTAGACTCTCCCCTTCCCTAGGAAAATCCCAGCTTTTGCCCAGTTCAGGGGTTAGACCATCACTGGCTCCCTCCGCTGAAGCCTGCACTAAAGCCTTTCTGTGGAATGCCATATGATCTTCCCATCTCTTGTCTGCGTCGGCTGGAGTAACCCCTGAACGGAGCTGGCTAGGCTGAACAGAGCTGATCATAGAGCAGAAATCACTTCTAAAAGAGCTGGGCACCTTAAGCCTTTTTTCCATGCTCCTAAGGGTTACCCGTGGCTGGAGACTGCCTGCAAACCCCGGACTCTGGCTCTCCCCCGGGACGCCTGTCTGGGCTTGTTGCCGGCAGAAACTGGGGTCGGACAGGCCCCCAGGACCCAGCCACATCACACCTCCACAGACTTTGCAGTCTAGAAAGTGTGACTGTTTAACACAGAACTCTAGTTAACCTTGACATTAACTTTCACAAGTATTTTTATGGTCTTTAGAATGTAATGTTACAGGACCATCTCTATTTCTCACACCTCTCAATATAAATTACAGTGCCATTCGACATACTTACATTTTGATCTTTTATTTCTCCCTGGCAGCCTTGACAATACCTAAAAGCAAATTTGTATATTTTAACTGAAGAGTCAAGACTGTGTAAATAAGTGTTTTAAAATAGATCTCATCCATAGTAACAATTTCTGGCAATTATTTCAGCTATTCAACTGAACTCACAGATCATGGAAATGACAAGTATTTCTTAATGACAGAGGTGCCCCACACCACCCAAACACTCAGGATCTCCAGCAGCCAAGAAGCTGTTGCCAGCTATTCTTACTTGTGTTACAAAAACGTTACAGTACACTCATTATCACAAATAAGCTTTGCATACCGTTCCCCCTTGTATTGTTCCAGTGGAACTTCCTGAAAGGCATCTAGAGGAAACAAGTGATGGTAAGACCGAGCCAGGTGAGGTGCAGACACTAATGTAAGACCTGCAAATAGAGACACCAAAATTGTTACAAGGGAGGTTTTACTGAAAGGCTTTTCTGTATCAAATAAAATAAAAAGTCTCATTCTCAGTGGGTAATAGCTTCTAAGAATTTTAAAAAGTAAAATTACTTGTTCCATTAGCCAAACCAGTAATTCAGTCCACTTTTAAATCCAAAGAACAAGAAAATTGCTCAAATTTCTACTGAAAAAGTTTAATTTAGCCTTTGGAAATACATTTACAACACACAGTGGTGAAGTTAAGAAGCTCCTTTTGGCAATGATGGTTCTGCTGTATCACACCACCAGTTAAAATCATGCCCTATTACAAAGTTCTACTACAGCCTGCTGTACTACTGCCAAAGCCACGCCACAGCCCCATATTAGCTAACACAGGTCTGCTGGTTTTAAAAGAGTTAATTTTTGCCACACTAACTATCATGTGTCTGTGTTTGGATCTATGCTGGAAACAGGGTTGATAAGGCAGGAATGTTTTCTTTACTGCTGAGCAGTGCTTACACACAATCAAGGCCCTTTCTGTTTCTTACTCCCCCAGTGAGTAGGCTCAGGGGTGCACAAGGCATTGGGAAGGGATACAGTCAGGATGCAGTCAAGAGAACAAGAGAGTTACACCAAGCCAAACAGTGTGTCTCAGTTTATAAAGCTGGGTGAAGGTGGAAACGGGAGAATGTTCAGGGTGATGGCATTTACTTTCTCAAGCAACTGTTACCCATGATGGAGTCCTGCTTTCCCGGAGATTCTGCTGTGGGGAAGTGGTGAATAAATTACTTGCGTTGCTTGGATCGCATACAGCTTTTGCTGTAACTACTCAATTGCCCTTCAATGCCACCCGTGAGTTTTCCCACTTTTACTCTTCTGATTCTCTCCCCCATCTCACCAGTGGGGAGTGTGTGGGTGTCTGGGGCTGAGTCACCAGCTGGGATTATACCATGAGAACAAGTTAGCTGGGGCATGGGCTGGCACAAACGTCTCCATCACTCAGTCACATGTAGTGTAAATGTCCAAACTGTTCTGCTGTTCACTGCAGCTGCTGAGAATCCACTGCAGAGACACAGGATTTCTCCAGTTACACTATTCCCCTGCTGGAACAAAACTTATGCTGGTGGAAAAAACTTGAAATTAAACTGGGATAAAGTGATCCGAAACTATAATTATTTCATCCTCTTGCCAAATACATGCATCCTAGTAATACCTATGGTGTTGTAGTCATATGCCTGTAGGACAGCACCTGCTCACAATACTAACATTATAAACCAGGCTAATCCTCCCTCCCACCCTAAGAGCAATGGAGGGAGGGAGGCATCATTGGCTGCACAGTCCATTACCATTTGCAAGACCAAACGACTTCTGTTTACAACTCTACAGCCTGACATGTGTCAGTATGCAGCCTGCCCTTGGGGTCAACTTGGAATCTTTCATCCACACACTCCTGGAGGTAAAAATACTTCTGTCCTTCTACTCCAAAGCACTCTTTCATGCCCTTGCACTGAGGACTCTGAAATATGGGTGTGTTTATAAATACTTATTTAACTAAGTAAACTAAGTAAACTAATACTTAGTTAAATAAGTATTCTTAAGAAGTTACCATTCCCCTGTGCATCACCCCTCTTCCACACTTAGCCCTAGGTATATTCCTTATACGAAGGAATATGATACAGCTTTACTGTTATAGGTCTAATCCTGAGAGACTCTTGTACTAAGGTGACATGCCAGGGCACAGGAAATGCAGGACTCCTTAAGCAGAGCTGACTTTAAATTACGAAGTATAGCTGAATTTTTCTACCCCTTAAATCTCTTACCATGAATAACTGCTCACTTCACCTGCTCACCTTTTCTTGCTACTTACCACAGATTTTGCATTCCACAGGAAGCTCACAGTATTTGGCTCTGCACTGAGGACAAAAATATCCACCCAGTGTAAGACCTGGGTCACTGTTATTTTCCAATTGCCTACAGTAGAAACAAACAATTCAGTACTTAAGAAATAATACCACACTACTACATAATTACAAATAACATTTTCACATCAAATAATTTTAAGTTTCACTAGATTGCATAAAATGGCTTAATGTCTAAGTGTCAGAAAACAATTGATATGGTGACACATCAGTGACCACATTTTCCCAGAGGAACCAAAGACCAAATATTTCCATATAAAGGAGCCAATCTTTAAAAATAAAGATATGAACAATAACTGCATGCTTGTTTCTTTTTAGACACAAAAATATTCTATATTACATATAAGATTCACATCATACTTATTCTTTCAAACAGCACAAACTGTTAGACATCATTTCATTCTGAAATTCAGACTTCCCTATCACCCTGGAAAACAGTGACTCTTTTCATTGAGAAGTGCACTGGTACAGTCATCAAATGAGGCCTCTATTTTAAACTTCCCTTTAAAGTCATGCTAAGAAATATGTAAGAAGTACTTATTCAGATAATACCCTTTGGTCCTCATAATTATCTTTCATAATTAAAGTAATAATTAAATCAAGAACTACAAGTAATTGCTTATATACCTTGTAGCACCTGTTTGTCCCAATCACTGTGTAACATAACTAAGTACCATTTACTACCTTAAAAAACAAGTGCAAATTTTAAAACACATATTTAACAGCAGTAACTATGGCCACACACTGGAGCTATCAATGGAAATAAAATGTCTACTGAAAAGTCACAAGACATGGCTTACTCTTTTTTTCATATTATTCTGCAACACTTTTCACTGTTGAGCAGATTTTCTGACTAATTAATACTGAATTCTTAACAGCTCATTGAATTCAAATCAATACTACTTACGCCATGCTAAAGGAGGGCTTTGCATCTTGATCAGATAGAGAAGCAATAGTATGCTGAGGAAAACCTGAAAAAGAAAAACATCCCATAGTAACAATTTTAAACATGTGCCAGTTTCTTACTTCAATGAAGATCAAAGATTATTCTAGACATTCAAGCCTATCTCTTTCCCATTTGTTATTACAGGAGAACTGATACTCTCTTGCTAGGTATCAAATTCTTCCCAAAGGTCTCTAGCTGTATCCACACCTCCCTGACTTTACTTTCCCCTAACAGAAAAAATGTCTTTGTCATAGACTTGGTGTTAACCAAAGTGCACTGGAACCCCATTTTTGAAGAACAGTTATAAAGAAAAATGTGTGAAATGGTAGGAAAGCAGAATGAGCAGCATACAAATGCTCACTTAAACAATTGTTTCTAATTAAGGGGGAAATATTTTTATATGCACCCATCCAGCCTATATTCACCTTCCAAGTCCAGTGTATGACAGATGAGACTACAGGACTTTTTGGAGACTGATATCATTCTTTCTATCATTTATTTTTTACAGTTTTTACAGTTCATGTTACAATTCATGACAGGTGGTTTTTCCAACTGCTGCTCAGGCTCTACGTACAAGAAGCAAACCTTTTCATTATCTATACCTAAAAATAAAAATACATACATTCTTATCTATGTGAAGGGTGGATGAGAGTAAGAACTCTTGATCTACTGATTATCTACTTTGTAGAATTAGAGTTCCTATTCTGGTTTAACTCCAAGCTTAAATTTATTGAGAAACACAACAGGAAAAGAAAAGATACCTAATCTACTTGTTGAAAGAACACTCCAGAAGCTGCTAATAAACACATACTAACTACAGCTCTCAAGTCAATTAATAGCTGTAACAGTTGCCCTCTGCAAGAAAAAAAAGTAGAGGGAGAAATAAAATAGTTTTTCATCCTGCATTTCTAAGTATTAAATTTATAACAACTACTGTTCCCTCAATATCATTCCACTTTGTTGTTCCCAAATTCTGTTCTTATTCTGTTCTTATTTCTGTTGTCTTATTTAATAAGCTTTATTTAAAAGCTGACAACTTTGCAGGAATAACATCAAGAAAATTGATGCTTATCTAGCAAAATAAAAGTTAAAAAAAAATAAAAAATTGCACAATATCTTTATTGTGCAATATCTTTATTTGCACAGGATAGGCAAATAAAGAAAAAGATTAAGCAAATCTTGTGCTACAAGTTTGACAAAACCATATCCTACCCATTCGAATAAGGGAGCACTCAGAAGTTGAACTGGCAGGTGGAGGACTAACATGGTGCATCAGCAGCTCCTTATAATGACCTTCATCTAAAATAACGTGGTAAGTTCCTGTCACAAACAAAGAAATGCCTTACTGTCAGGTTATGAGCAAGAAAGAATAAAAACATATATTCCACATGATAGAAAACAACTTAGGTAGAAAACATAATCTATCCAAGCCTGTTCCTAAAAAGCAGCCCTGTTAGGTAGGCTACAGTAAATGTTTTAAAACTGGTAATAACAGAATGTTAAATTAGATATGAAGGCACAGAGCTTTTTCTCCAACATTACACTGCAGCAATGATACTGTATGAGTTACCACTGTAGCAATGGATATTAACATGTTAAATTGATGAAGTTCCACTTCACACAGCTTTATACTTGGAACACAAGGTTTGAAAAATATATCTATTTCTTCTCTCTAGAGCTGCAGCTACTAGCTGATAATGATTTCACTTAGATTTGGGCAACTCTTTAATTTTCTGCCAGCACAATGGAAAATATTTATCCTTAAAAATATCAAAATGCGGTAATAAATATATAACAAATTACTTAATTTTCATTTTAAACCTGTGTGAGTAATATAACTACTGAACTTCAGATACGTACCACCAGTTTCTCGGGCAAGTACTGTACAAACTCGAACTTCAGCACTTAAGCCGATGACAGACACTCTGATCTTTACTGCTTTTAAACACTTAAAATAGAGAAAAAAAAAGCATACTCAAATTTATGTGCAGAACAAGAAATAGTAGAAAGGTTTCAAGTCTTAAATGAAAATTAGTTGGTGATGACGCTGCAACTGCCTGTTTTTCCTCCAGTAGCTTGGATGTGGTAGTCAATGCAGTAGTCAAACTTCAGTTCGGTACCTTAATTAGATCATAGATGTTGGCAGGATCACATGTCGTCAGACTGCTGAGGACTACCAAAACCTCTCGGCTTGTATGTCCTGGCATGTGCCTAAGGAAAGCACAAAGTCAATTTACATCTGCACACTAAGCTATTTCTATGATAACATCTCCAAGAACCTTAATGTATTGAAGTCAAAAGATGACATATGAAATCGTGTACAAGCTGTGATAAGATACTTTTCTGAGCACCAGGTTTTCACTTTCTGAAAGACAAACTTTTGCAATATCTAAAACACAGTATTTAATTGTGTAGTTGTTACCTGATTATTTGCTGTAATGAATCCTTTGTACCTTAGCCATACTACTCACAGGTAAAATTAATCTTCAAACTAGCACACTGTAATGAGTCTTCCTGACTTCTTAAAAAACTCTAATCAGTTCTTAAGCATAAATCCATTACTTTTAATTACTTCTAGTTCTTAGCTGAAAACTCTCTCCCTCCTTTAGTAATTAAACAGCTTTTCATGTTACTGATTATTAGCTTTGTTCAGTGTTTTAGCTGTAATTCCACATACTGGGATACATCTTAATACCACACATAGCAAACAAGTGTTCTGAATCTATCCTATCTGAAAACTCATCTTTCTAAACAATGCCAAAACTCTCACAAGATTATTGTGACACAACACTGTTTCTTTTCCTGTTCTCTTGCATTATTAACCCCTAAGTCTGTCCTCTCTCATACCTCAGCCCTTCAGTAAAAAAGAATTGCAGTGTCTTTCATCACAATATCTACATATCATCATCAACTTGGTTTTCAAATTTCATTTCTATAAGAAACACACCCCTAAATACAAGCAGTAGTGGTAGAAAATAAACTTCTGCAGTACTAGAATATTTAACTTAATGATTTGCATTGTAAGAGGAGATAGTCACCTTTTAAAAACCCACGTCAGCATGATGGAAGATGCTACTGAGAAAAATTACAATTGCAAAGAAAGCAAAAAACCTCCATGTATATACTAACTTTAAAGTCTGCATGGCCAAATTTAGGGAATTATACAGAGAAGGCTCTCCACTGCAGCTCATATCCACTGCTTTCTTCAGAGCAGTTACATGCTTTTTTGAGTTTCCTGTAAGTGAAAAAAAAAAATGCAATCAATTTAACTGATACAACTGATACAAGCTGAAGAACAGAAATATTTAAACTGTAATGAAGTGTATGTAATGAAGTGTACTTGTAATGAAGTGTACTTCTTTACATCAGAATGCAGGAAACAGTAAGACAGACTTTTACTCTCTAGGCGCTCAAACGCTAGGAAGTTTAGAAGCCAAAAAGAATAAAATCACTGCTGGGTATCATTAGCACTCAACATGAGTGTGATGTCTCTCACAAACAGGAAATGAATTTTGTTTCCTCTGTTATCCTCAAAGTATGGTTCAAAGATTGATTGATCCCCAATTTCCTCAATGAAACCTGCTGAAGCCAAAGAGACTGGTGTAACACCAGGCAGGAACCAAACAAAGCTTGACTTAACATCTGATCAGATCTCACAAAAACACAGATGTTGTAACACACAAAACTAACAAACAGGGTAGAAGATTAACCATAGGGAAACAGAACATATCTGAGTTACATTCTGATCGAGACTTGATCACAAACAAGCACACAACGACAATCCTGGATCAAAGCAAACAAAAGCACAGATTATGGTTTCAGACAACTTGCAATAATTTATCTTTTGAATTAAAGTTAATTATGATAACGTAACTTCATTTTCAGCAGTATATCTGGCAGAATTTACAATACCAATGAAAAGGATAAAAACATCTGAAATTTAAGAAAATAATATTACTTCCCTACCTGAGAGTTCTGTCATTTTTTCCGCTCTTTTACTCTTGGTTACAATTAATCCAATCTGAAAAAGGGGAAAAAAAAGACAAAATTGTTCTTTGAAAGTTTTACAATGAGTTTATTTAGAATTTTACTATAATTTTTTTATGTCTTTATGGACCAGAATTATTTAACCATGCAAGTTTTACTTCAAGTGTAACAACAGCAGCACAACATCATGCATAATTTTACAAACACTCCTGTATTTTCATTACTACTGCCAAAAGGTATAAAAAGAAATCTAAAATTCTAAATGCCTGGCAGAAACAGGCAGAAATAAGAATATCTCTAGACTGATGAATAAAGGATGGGAAGGTACACATAAATTGAAAACAGTTTACTGGATAGTATTACAGCCAAAACTATCTTTTAAAATAGTTTTCTGTTATTTGTTTTTTGCATGGTTGTACATACCTGACTAATAGGATTCTGGTCAAAGTACTCCTCAACAAAATATTCCAGTAACTATAAAGGAAAGTTAAGATGGTTAAAAACTAATTATACTTTTATTAGACATGCACTATGTAGATACAATATATCTAGTATAACTAAAAAGCAAAACAAAGTAGCTGGGTAACATAAGAAAGGGGAATGAGCCTTTCTCTTTCACTCTATTCCTCCCCCTTCATCCCATGTAGGTAATGAAATGCAGATTTCAGAAACTACACCCCCCCTTATTTTATTCATGTCCTATGTTGAAGTCCTAGATTGCCACTGGTGCAAATGAAGATTTTCAATATATCAAAACACACTAATCTTTACAAAACCAACAAAACCCAGGATTTCATGCTTTAGTATTGTTGAAGAAGGCCATACAGAACACGATGTACACAGTTCAAATCCTCCACAATCTGAAACAGCAATCCAGTTCAACTCTCATCTAGCATCCTTTCAAATAAAAATTCATAAAAAAACCCAGCTGTAAGAAAAAAATATAAACCAATTCTAGATACATAAACGAAAACATGTCGTCCCCTTACTATGGGCAACATTTAATTTCCAGTTTCCAAATGTGTCTTCCCATAACATGCCTTTATAAAGTGTTTTTACTGCACAGAAGTACATGTGCAAGGCAAAATAATGCCACACGGATTTTACTATTCAAAAAACAGTGACAGACTAGCAACAGAAGCAAGGAGACAAATGCAGGGATGAGAGATGAGGCTATGCACATACAGGAGACTGCAATTTTTGGAATGCAAAATGCAACCAGTTTATAGAGAAATGGTAGCTCAGTAAGAAAAAACTTGGAAGTGCAGGAATACCTTCAGAGTGCAAGTAAGTCTGTTCGGTTTTAAGTCTTGGTCCTCCATTGTTCTTGATCCATCAACAACCACATAAAGGTGACGCATCTGCAGTTCCACCATATGTGAAAATTACTCACAGAATACGTATTGAAATTAATTCATTTTTCCATTTACTTAAAAAAGACATTACTTCCCCCCTCAAAGAGGGAAAATTCAGTAGATTGAGTGATGCAATTAATGTAAACTGCAAAGTAACGCATTCTTCAACTTTTCTCTTAAAACAAAAAGAAACCCTCTCTTGAAAATTGCACACTTTCCTTTTCTCCTCTCATGATAAGCTACAAAACATGCATAGTTTAAACATTCACATCTTCATCTGAAGAGTTCACTGTTGTATCAAGCAATGTGTTTATTTACAGCACATTTCCATTATGTCCATTTTTCACATGAAGAGAAATGGACAGAGTGAGCACACGTGGCGTGACTTCTGCTACCAAACACACCCTGTGTGTCAGACCTCCAACCCTGAATAGCCACGCTTTGCATCCACACTGCCAACGAACAAAAAATGATTAAAAAAAAATAACGGAAAAACGGTGGAAACTATAAGGTTTCGTAAGAAGTACAGCTTTAGCATGAAGTTAGGCCAGCAGAAGTGTATTTCAGATCCAGAATACCACCTCTAGCCAAGCAGTTTTGGACTAAGGAAAGAAGAGGGTTAAGGTATTAACATACCATTCCAAGCCGGACTTGTCCATGGTGTTCATAGAGTCTAACAAAACACAGAAGGATTTAAGTCAAATTCAAATGAGTGAATGGCTCCTAAAATAAAAGTACAAACAAGTCTAATACTGACTTCTGGCAAAAATGTAGAAGCAACAAACTGCAGACACTTATTCATGCTGAAAAACTCCACAGCTCAATCACAGATTTCACAACTCTCAGAAAAGAAATAAAAGCTATTTCTTACTATCAGGTTTAATGAAGTTATAAAATTTTACCCAAATCTGACAAATCAAGTTCTAATGTAACTTCAAATAATGCAAAATTGGGGATTTTTTCTAGCAATTTTTCTGAAATTTGAAACAGAAACCTGTAGTCATGATACCAGGAGCTAGATTCTGCTGTGATAGGGCAAGGGACAATGTTTTAAACTAAAAGAAAGTTGATTTAGATTAGGGATAAACATGTTTTTACCATGAGGGTGTTGAGGCACTGGAGCAGGTTGCCCTCAGATGTGGATGTCCCACCCCTGGGAGAGTTCAAGGCCAGACTGGATGGGGCTCTGACCAATTTGGTCCATTGAAAGGTGTCCCTGCTCATGGCAGGTTGCAGTGGGATGATCTTCAAGGTCTCTTCCAAAAACTATCTTGTGATTCTCTGACATGTATATTAAAAAAAAAATGATGGAAGATTTCTCTAGGCTGCGCAGATTGCAACTGCAGTGCTCTGCACTGTTTCATCAGATCAAGACCTGCAACTTGCATACACATGGGATACACAGCCTGTATGCATTCACTGTTCAAAGATAAAAATTAATTCTTCACCGTTTTTTTCTGGCATGCACCTGCCCCTCTGAAGGAGAAACTACGTAAAAACATCCTGCAGGCATGCCTTATACTTAATTAATTAAGGCTTAATGCCACATGACCCAGTTTCAGGATGATCAAGCCCTTATAACTGACCAAGTCAGTGCTATTAGCAGACTCGTGACCACACCAAGTACCTTTTCCTCTTTGCTTTGAAGAGAATGTCCTCGATGGTTGCTTTCAACGACCCGGATTCGTCTTCCTTAAGAATTTCCCTACGCAAAACAGAGGCAAAAAAGTGGGCACAGGGGAGATTTTTTGCCAGAAAGGAGAGAAAGGTGAGGGGGAAAGAACATACCATGTTCTTTCGTAGCCTCCTTCCCAGCGCTTGGTCCGCTCGGGTTCATCATCCATCTCGGCGGGAGCTGAGGGCGGCAGGGGGGCGCTGAGGGGGTTGTGGGGTGACCAGGGGAGAAGCGGGGCGCTCAGGGAGTATCAGGGGAGCTCGGGAGAGACGAGAGCGCTCAGGGGTGACAAGGGGGACTGCGGGAAGAAGACGGGAGTGGAAGGGGTCTGAGAGGAGCCGAGGGACACTGAGGGGGGTGAGAAGGGCCACGGGGGGCTAAGAGGAGCCGAGGAAGGTTGATTAGAACCGCAGGGCAC